CAGACTGCAGTTTCTTAAGGAGTTATAGTCAAGAGGTTGAGGGGCTTTCCCAGTCCAGCACCTAAGAGCCCCTGACCAGGCCGACACCATCTGGATCCCTACCCTAAGTGCTTCAGTTTGGAAGACTCTTTAACCAGGGCCCTTTAGTTGAAGCTTCTGAAGGTCTCTTTGCAGAGACCTCCTTAAGAAGCAGAGACCCTCCTAAGAAAACTTGAAGACATTTTTTTCTCATTGAAACCTATTCTGACTCTGAAAATTTTTCTTTTCTGTCCCCCCCACAACTAGATTCACAAAACTACAGCCTTTTATTTGGAGCTCCTACAACAGTGAGACAACCCTCATAGCTGTGCGATGGGAGAAAACGGAAGATAGGGATTTAGCACTTTCTCCATTTCAGCTTGTCTATAATATCTCAGTAAGTGATCAAAGGCAATGGTAACTTTCATTTTGGCTTACTGTCTTAAATTAGCTACCCACACGTCCAGCCACTCAGGTCTCTACAGTTTAACTAAGCTCTGGACACAGATACTGTGGAATTGCATTAAAGATTCATTATCTCATGAATTCTAATTATCAGTAAAAATACACTTAGTGTGGTAGGAACTTAAGATGTTCAAGTAATATAACTAGAGGAGGTTAAACTGATTTAAGAAGAAAGGTGATGTTTGTTTAAAGGAAGGGCATGGTTAACTTATAATACCATTATAAAAACAACTAGGGAGAATAAAGCAGGAAATAAGAAAAATGCATATATGTATGGAGAGAGGTTACTATTCATATAGATTTGCAATTTAACCCAGGGAAAACATGTTCAATAAAAATAAAAGTAGCCCAGAAGGACTAGATTTACCCTTCCACGGGCAAAAAGTGAACAAAATATATGAAAAAAACAAAAAGCTTTCAGACAGTAAGCATAACGACTATCAGCTCTAAAAGGGCAAACAAATGAAGTCAGTATTATAACTACTCCAGTTTACTCCCTAAAGAGCTTCCAGCTACAGCACAGGAATGTGGAATGTATGTGAAGTCTAGTAACCTTTCTGAACTAAGAAGACAAGGCCCTGGAATCCAAGAAAACTAAGAAAGCTAGAGTTCGAGGGGCAAAGTACCACAGAAGACAGATTTGCTCAGAGAGCTCTGAAGATCCACAGAGGGTTCTCCTCAGTTCTTCAACTAAGTATGAATTAGCACACTCTGTGAGAAAGCTACTAAGGTTCAAGGAAAAAAATCCATCCAAAAGGACTAGAGGAAATAATCTCCAAAGGTCAAACAGGCCCGGAGTACTTCATACTCCCACCAGAAGAGAGATAGAGAAAAAAAGATACAATATATACAAATCAAAGATAATGACAGAATTGTCATCAGAAACAATTTAAGCCAGAAGATAACAGAATAAAAAAATTTTAAGTACAAAAAGCAAAAACAAAATCTACCCATATAGAATTTCATACTCAAACAAAATATATTTCAAAAATGAAAAGAAAATAGATTTTTTTTCAAGTGTACAAAAGCTGAAAGAATTCATCACCAGCCCATGTAGACTACACAAAGTATTAAAAGAAGGCCTATTGGCAGAAAGAAAATAACACCAAATGAAAATACAGATTTACAGAGAGAAACGGAAAAGAGCAGGGGTGTTTCTCAGCAAAGAAATATGAGAACAACTAGGCTTGGTTAGATTCAAGGCTCTTGGCTGATGCCAGACAAAAATTTGAACTGATGGGCCATCCTTTTTAGAAGAGGAAACACTCTCTAGTAGATGGAGTATATAGTACATTTAATAAAACATAGATGTAAAATCCTACCTGAAAGAAAACACAATTTTAAAAAGAACTTACAAAAAAACCCAAATTAATAAAATATAAGCTCAGAAAGAGATAATAAAGCATCAAAGGAAATATTTGAAGAGGACTAAAAACATGACTGAAGACTTAACAGAATATTAGAACAAACGAAAGAATATACAGTTAAAAATTCAATTGCTGATGAATGAAATTCTTGAGATGACAGAAGAAACTACAGAAGAAAAGATAAAGATTAAGAGAAAAAAATTCTTTTGATGATACTGGGGATTGAATTCAGGGCCTTCACACTGAACTACATCCCCAAGCCCTTTTTATTTTATTTTTTTTTAATTTTGAGACAGAATTAAAAGAAAGTAGATATGAAGGTCAGAGAAAAATAATCTAACATAAAGATAACTAATGTCCTTGAACTAGAGTAAAAAAACAAGAAAAGAATACAAAAATACATGTAAAATTCCTTGGAAACTGGAAGATTCTACAAATAATAAATGCAAAGATTTTCCAGGAAAGTGATCTAGAATATTTTATAACAAGATATATTTTATTTAAAACTTTCACTATTAAGCTGTAAAACGTAAATCTTCAGGCATGTACTTCACAAAAGCAAGTTACATCCAAAACAGAGGGGATAGAAGGAGAAAGACACCATGCCATATCACATGTCACAGAACTCTCCATTATAAAAATGAATAACATCTAGAAAGTTCTGAGGAAAAGAAAGTATGACCCAATAAAATTATACCCAGCCAGTTTATCCCCTAAATACAAAGACAGTTGATACATATTTTCAAACATATAGACTCTTATAATATGGCTGTTTTGATTCCTTTGAAAAAAAGAATACTTTCAATTATATTTGGTAACCAAGAAACACATAAAAATAAGGAACTCATAAATTAAAATGTCATGACTTTAAAAAATGAGTACTGAGTCCATAATATATAGTAATAAGACTTTAACATTCAGGAAATTAGTATTACTGTGCTATACACAGTTATAGACACATTTTTTAAAACATAATTTAATGAACAAAACTCAAGATGTATGGGAAACAAAAAAAAAGTTTTACAAAAATGATGGGGTTTTCAGCTGCATAGCAAGATGCTAATTTTAATTGCCCCTAAAATTGAAATACAGTGGTATCTTGGTTTACAAACACTTGTTTACAAACAATTTGGCTCATAAACGAGCATTTAGCAAACTTTTGTTTTTGTTTGCAAACTGCATGGGGTGACAAATACGACCGCAGTCATCTTTCCCACACAAACACAAACATGGCCATCTTTTCCAAAATCATATAACAAATTAAGTTCATGAACCAAGGTACCATCATACTTTCAAAACAGTAATTGTACCTTCAATGTTTTTGTAACATTTATATTTGAACATAAAGGGACTTTTTAGAAATTAGTATCTCTCAAATTGAGATATTTATCTCAAGTAAAACAGCTCATTTACCTTTACCTGAAGTTTCTTTTTATTTGATTAGCTCCAAATATATATAATACATGTAAGTTTCTTTTTAAAATAGCATCTATTGGGATATTCTTTTTAAGTAATTAAGCTTCTTTCTATGTAACTATTAAGAGGTAGTTGTGTGATAATTAATATTAAAATTTTTGATTTTTACTTGGTTGTGAACTAGCTTTTTTATTGCTTTAATGTCTGCATGTTAATAATGAAGTTATTATTTTTTAAGTAATTAAAGAATAAAGTCTTAGAAATCCCAATAGCTAAGAGGTAAATAGAAAGCAATTCAAGCTAGGGATGTAGCTCAGCCACATAGTACCTACCTAGCAAGTGCAAGGTCCTAAGTTCAACCCCTAGTAACAACAACAACAAAAAAACAAAACGAAAGAAAGAAATTCCAATGGAAGAAGACAGAGAAGATACAGGAAAGAGTAGGAGTTTATAATGGGAAAAAACAGTATTTCAGAAGGCAATAAGGAAGTAAGCTTGAAATATGATAACTTAAAGGTGTAAAATAAAAGGGTTCAAATATAGATTTTGACAAGTCACTAGTGACCTAAGTAAGAGTAACAAGAACAATAATTGACATAAAAGCCAGAAGAAGAATGTTATGGTCATTATTTAAATGCCAGAAGGCTCCCTGTCTTAAAGACTTGGTTGCCAGCTGATGGGCAGTTGGCAAGTGATTGGATCATGAGGACTCTAAATTTAACAGCAGATCTTAAATTGCTGCCTTTTGGGGAGGCTATAGAAACAGGAAGTTTGGTCTGTTTCAAGGGAATAGATCATAGGGGTGTAACCCTGGGGTCTATAGCTAGTTCCTGACTTGTTCCTCTCAGGCTCTTTCTCTCTGGCAAGGCTATCTGCCATGACAGACATTCTGCCCTGCCACAGAACCAGAGCAATGCAGCGAGCTGAAACCTGTGAAACTGTAGCTCAAAATAAACCTTTTAACCCTTGAGTTGATTTCTTCCCAGTATTTTATCATAGTAATTAAAAAAAAACAAATGAACACAGGGTAAGTTAAAAGTAATTATTTAGTATAAATGGTCAACAACTGAAAGTATAATGGCAATCCTTAGGCTGCAACAGGTTACATTTTTTAAAAATCCTATCATATCAAACTTACTTTTTCTAATGAGGTACTGAGGTTGTATAATAAATACAGGTATCTTAACTTTTAATGAACAAATAATCTTAGATTTGGAGCACTGATATATTCCTTATAATTGAACAGATTCAGGCTACTGGTCAAGGAGTTTATAAATTTGAAGTCTTCCAAAGTTTTCTTCTAGACTAAGATTTTGATTGCAGGAAAATAGATGACAGCTAAATGATATCAAATAATAAATGTAAAGTCAAAAAAATATATAAATGAATCACTAATGTTGAATGTAACTCTACACTGTATTGCCTATAAAACTATAAATGAACATTAGTAGGAAAACTATCAATGAACAATAAAAGTGAGGGTTTTTTCTTCTTATACAATTTCTCTTTGTATTTTTTAATAAATTATAAGGCTTGCCCAAAATAGGAATTTTAGGTGTTCACTCTATTTATTTGATTTTTTCTCATGAAAGGTAAAAATGTTAATGACTTATTAATGAGTAATGTGATAAAGAAAGAGAGGTAAGAAATTCCTATAAGAAATTGAAACCATAACTTCATGAATGAGATAATTTAATAATGTCTGTGTTAAGTATATATTTTCATAAAAATTACCTTCTCTTTTCTCTGCTATACATCTATTCAATTCTTGTATTGTTGTCTTATCAATAGATATATGTACTTTAAGTTCATCCAATTCTTCTTGAAGATTCATTCTATGAAAATTAAAGAAATAAAAAGGTTCATAAATATCTCAGTTGGAGAATAATGTAGCAAAGAAATAAAAGTAATAGATATTTTTAAATCCATAGAACTGAAAATGGTAAAATAAAAGCAAAAATATATCCATATTAACTAACCCTAAAAATTGCAATTAAATTTTAAAGAGGATCTAGAAAAAAAGTTTTAAGTAAATGATTTTTGTTAACTTTATTGTAATAAACATGTTAGATATCTAAAATTTAGACAAACACAGGTATGATTTTAAAAATCATGCCCTGAGTTGTCTAGTCACTTCATAACCTGCAGATATACTCGATAAAAAGTAATTAAAAATGTTACTACATACCACTGAATGAAGTCATAGTAAATCTCCAGATGCTCAATGAAAGCAAAGTACCTTTACCAGTACATTGCCATTGACCTACCATGGTGAGTATTTGAACTTGATCAAATACTGTGCAGTGTACCTCAGACTCTGCAATCTGAGTGGAAATGGAAATTTACAACCAAGACCCTACATGGGGCCATGAGGCAAGACTGGTATTAACTAAAAGAAGTTAGAGGACAAAAATTTGTTGAATGAAAACCTTAATATCTCAGCTTATCTAGTCAGGGTTCCATTGAAAAGAGCCCTTCCATCTCAATCAGTTTGAAGGAAGGACAGAGTCAACCACATGAGGTCAGAATCCTAAGCTCATATTACTAGGTTCAAAATTGAGCCATATAGATTTATAGAAACATAAAGAATCAGCAATAATATCAAAACTGGTATGGTTAGTGTATAGTAGAGGATGCCAACTGACACAATCTTCTTGCTATAGTTTGGATTTCAAATATCCTCCAGTATCTCATGTGTTAAAGTTTATTCCCTAGGATGGTGCTACTGGAAGGTGGTAGAGTCTTTTAAGACATGGGCCTAGAGGAAGGCCTTCAGGTCACTGGAGATACGCCTTTGAAGAAGACTATGGAGCCCTGGTCCCTCCCGCTTTTTCTTTCCCTTCCCAGCTGTGAGGTGAAATGCTTTTCTCCAGCCTGGTCCAGCCATGATATCCTGCTTAACCCCAGCCAATAAGAGCAACTGATCATGACTAAAACTTCTACAACTGGAAGCCAAAATAAATCTTTTCTCTTTATAAGATGACTATCTGATAATTTTTATAACAATAGAAAGCTGGCTAACATACACCCTTCAAAGGGAGATTTTCATAACTAAGAAAATGGATAGAAGAAACACCACCAAAAAAGTAATTCTCAGTGACGTTAAACTTGGCAATACCAATACATACATGAATAAGTTGGGAACCATAAATGAGTCTACATATCACACTGCTCAAAATAGGAGAATGTACAACAAGAAAAAGACATAACAGAACAATTCAAAATTATTTTTATAATTAACTTTAAGAGTTTTTAAAGATAAAATATGATAAACATACATTTAAGAAGAACAAGCATTATGAAATAAAATGAAGAAAAATAATCAAATAAATCTAGAAATACTAAATAAAACAATAAAAATAATGACAATAATTGAAATTAAAAGCTCAATGGGTAGATTAAGTAGCACATAGAAAAAGAAAAAGTGGTAAAATGAAGGACTACATAAAGAGACAAAAGGAAAATAGTAGAAGTTTATGAAGTGTGTTCGAATGAAAAGTCCTGAAAGCAACCAATACAATATTTTCAAGGAAAGAAGCGACAAAAGGGCAGTGTGAGATAGAGGACAATAGTCCAAATACAAATCATAAAATAGATGAATTAATAGATTAAGAGAAGAAACAAAAATCTGCAAGCAAAATAAGTAAAACTATACTCACACTTAGAAACACGTTGGTAAACTACAGAATATCACACAAAACAATCTATAAATCAGCCAGATTGGTAAGAAAAATCACAACTTTGGAATAACAGCAGACTTTTCATATGAACATGATAACCAAGAAGTATTATTTCCACATGTTATGACTTACTATTCATAGATCTTAAATGAAAGAATATATTTTAGAAAGAAAAAACTCAAAAGCAAGATATGAAAAAGTAGGCAATGAAGATGAAAGACAATGGCAAATATGTACACAATACCAAATAAACATGTATTATGTAAAGCAATCATAACGATAGGCAAAAGGAGTTGAAGCTAAAATAAAGGAGAACTACAATTCTAGATTACAACATAATATAAAACTAAGGGAGAGATCAGAGTTAAAGCATTTAAGATCTTTGTATTGTAAGAAAATAGAGGGCCGGGGATTTAGCTCAGTGGTTCCGGAGCTTGCCTTGCAAGTGCAAGGTCCCGAGTTCGATCCCTGGTACCAAAAAAAGAAAACAGAAATACTGATGAATTTCAGACTTTGTCATATATCTGATGTACATTATAATCTCAAGAATAATCATTTATCAACCTGGGATACAGCACATTGGGATACAGCACAGCAGTAGTCTGTCTAGCATGCCTAGTTTCAAACATTAGCAATGAAAATAATCATTTAAAGAATGAAAAGTAAATATGAAATTTATTAGGAGGTCATGACAAGAAGCAAAAAAATGTAGTTAATCAAATTAAAGCAAGAAAACCATTTTTAAAAGAATATAAAAACTAAAATATAAACTAGACACAGTGGTCTTCTCAGCTACTTGGGAGGCTGAGGCAGCAGAATCACTTGAGTCCAGCCTGGGCAACATAATAAAATCCTGTCTCAAAAGCACTACATAAAATAAAATACACACTAAGAAAAATGCCCAGTACTAAAAAAAAAAGCTAGTCATTAAATAATTCACTAGGAAAATCCTAAAAATAATACATAAAAGCAAGCATGATTCTCAAAGGTAGAAAGGAAGAGATAGAATAGAACCTCAGCAGTAGAAGTATACCACCAGAAGTGTAACTCAGAGCAGTGAGTTCCTTGGGTTTTCATTTTTCCCAAATACCCCAAACTAGGTAATAGAGAAGAAACCAACAACCCAGAGATGATAACAGACACAGACCAAAAAAAGCCTCCATGAGCATCAGCTTTCTCTAGTCAAAAACCAGGAAAAGAGCAGACAACCAGGACAGAGATTTCATACACAGCCATACAACACTGGAGAAAAAATGAAATAAATGAAACAAAGCCTTGATCCCTGTCAAGGAAAGCAGAGTAAGAAGCCTAGACTTCACCTCCAGCAGCCAGTAACCCTGCACACTCCCTTCAACTCGGTATCAGCAGAGGTAAAGTTTACAGGTTAGACTCCCAACTCTTCCTAGAAGTGACAGGTGACCCTCTACTTCAGGAATAACATCATTAGAGGCATGTGAAAATAAAGATTTCACCAAGATCCAAATAACAGTCCAAACAATAGTCCAAGGACCAGGAGACAATTTAAAAAATAAATCACCAACCAAGAACCAGAAAAATCTCAACTTGCAAAGAACTCTTTTATTGTTCCCCTCTCTTGCTACTGGGGATTGCAGCCCAGGACAGTCTACGACTAAGCTATATCACCAGCATCATCATCCTCATCATCACCATA